CACACACACACACACACACACACACACACACACACACACACACACGCCCTGTCTTCAGTATGATTATATGTGATAACTCATGCCTTATTAAAGATCCAGCTAACTTTTATATGCCTTTTTTGGGTTAATATGCAATAAGCTCTCATTAAAAAGTGCTTGGTTATATTATAAATTTATATATAGTCAGAAATTACTGCTCCCAGTGCAAATAGTGGCATGTAACACATCTCATTTACTCAAGCATAAGTATTTAATTTGTTATTAGGTACAGGTGTTATAATGAATTTCTACTGAAATGCAATCTTGAAATTTTAAAAGGTGGTTGGTTAGGCCGACATTGATTGATGAGTTACTTGAAGGAATTATGCATCTATTCTGAAACCTTTCCATTCTTTCAAGAAATAGGTAACTTGAATAGAGATGGAGAGAAATTAGATGCAGCTTGCCATAAAATTATTGTCCAACTGAGGGGATCAGTGGGGATTATTAAAGACATCTTGGAAATGATGAGTAGTTAAGCCCATTAAGTTTCTTGACTGACATACTAAAATGTAATGAAATGAAAGGCAGAAGCTGTTAACTATATTGATTTCACACCTAATTTCCATTGTTGAACATTTCTGTGTCTCCCCTTTTCTCTTTTTCTCTCTCTTTCTAGTATGCATGTAATCACGTATGTAAAACTATGTAAGTTATACTTGAATATACTTTATGGATATGGGTCAGAATAAGTACATAAGCATGTACATCTATATATATATATACACATAGATGTACAGAAACATACCTCCACGGTTAACATAAAACATAATATATTAGCTACAGATCTATGTTAGAGCTATAACTCAAAAGGAAAATATTAGGGAATTCATGACTGAATTATAGCCCTGTTGTGAGGAAGAGTAAACATTTAATAGCTTATATGAAACAGAGTGATGACGTTAGCCAGGCATATTGTGAAGAAGAATATCCCACGTGCAGGCAGTATTTTGCTTTGAATGAAATAAAGAATTACATATATGATAAATATATGATTTGATGGTAATTCTCTCATGTTTTAATGTTTATATTTACTCAGAACAGCATAGGATTATGGTGTTTTTATTTTAATATATGAAGATATTAAAGAAAGTCTACCAATGCAGTCAGATCATAATATAAATTATATTTTATAATAAAAAGTTAAAGTAGGTAATAGTTTAGTACTAGAAGGCAATCTTTGCTCAGAAAAAGACAATCAGAAACTTTGCAACAACAAATAGAATGTTATCATGTGGCTGGAAATTGGTGAAAACACATACTCTCATTTGTGAATACTTAAACTGAAAGCTCCTTTTTTACGTCAGGTATCTATATTCTCTGCTTGAAATTCTTCTAGAAACCCAAGCACACATTTTTCCCTCATAGTGTCTAATGCCAATTAGGAAGGGGGAATAATTCAGTTGGTGAACAAATGATCAGATTATGGTACTTACTGCCTGATGTTCTCCCATTGGTACTAAGCTACATGTGCACATAAAGAAATTACACTGTGGACAAAGGGCCCACAGACTCACATGCATACAACAAACTGTAGTTCTCATCAGGTGTCTTGGAAAAACATTCTTTCCTGATCTCACTTGTAGTGACTGCTAAATCAGCAACATCAAATGAGTTAGACAATATATGAGGTGTAATTAAACGATATGAATGTTTAAATTAAAAAAATTATTATAGTAAAAGACACATTACCATTAATCCCCCTCAAAATACTCGCCCTCACTTTGAACACATTTGTCCCATCTTTCTTGCCATTTTCTGAAGCAGTTCTGGAAGTCTTCTTTCGTGAGTGTCTTTGGTTGCGCTGTTGTGGCTACGTTGATGTCCTGAATCATTTTGACTTTGGGGAAGAGCCGGTAGTCACACAGTGCCAGATCTGGTGATTAAGGTGGATGAGGACACACCGTAATGTTTTCATTTGACAGAAATTGCCATACCAGAAGCAATGTGTGATATGGAGTGTTGTCATGATGGTGAGTGATTTATGGAACACTTTAAAACACACCTTCTCTCAACTGTAGCTCACACCGGACTGACTGCACCAAACAAATTGAAACTTGTCACACACTGTTACTAAGGTCCCATGCGCCATTTCCCGTGTTGAATATCCCTGCCTTTCCATTGGATGGCACTCGGCAGCAACATTCACCGTATTTCTTAATCTTAACGGAAAGGCTCCGCGTACTTTTTCTATGTTTCTTGTTGTAAAAATGCGTCATGACTTTTCCGACAACCCAATATGATTCTGTTTGGTGTGAATATCGTATGTTTTTCTGCAAATACATGATTTGATAACAGGGTGCTACCACAGACCCCACTACAGATGTTACATAAAACACTTCATGTGCACCATGTTAACCTTTCTAAAATATGAAAATTCCTAGATCTTGAAACACATCTGGAAACAAGCGTTTTGGTTAAGTGATTGTAGACCTGTGTTGTCTAATTTATTTAATGAGAAAGTTACTTATCCTTGATTAAGTAAAGTAATAGCTATGAGAGAAAACAGAATACTAGAAAGTGAAATTGAAAGTTAAATCCTGAAATTAATTTAAAGGACCCAGAATTGGGCAAGCCTTTAAAATGCTGACTTAAAGACAATGTGGTAAATTACCCATAGCTGTGCTGCCTATTTAAATTATAAGCAGAAACATGATGTATAAGTATTCTCATCGTGTTCTCTCTTTTCCCTCTGCAGTTATTAGCACTACACAGGCAAAGGCATACTGGCATAGTGGAAAATTTTCCACACTAGGAATTTAGATTAAGAACCCCATCTTTTTCTGCGATTATCCTAGTACTTATACTCCTTGACCAGTTTCCTCAGCTGTAAAATGAAATAAGTTTAGATGAATGTATAAGTCCTCTTCTCCATTTTAAAGTGCAATAACTCGAAAATTTCATTATATTTATATTTTATAGTTTTTATGTTCTTATTTCATATGGTTTTAGAAATAGTATATGCTGCTATCATTTCCTTGAACTGTAAAAAATGTCATTCTGTTTGTTTTGAGAGCGAGCACCCTCTTATGCTAATCAATTTCTCTCATATGCAGTGCAAGTTCCAGGGCCAGTTGAAAACCTGCAAGCCGTATCTACCTCACCTACCTCAATTCTCATTACCTGGGAACCCCCTGCCTATGCAAATGGTCCAGTCCAAGGTTACAGATTATTCTGCACTGAAGTGTCCACGGGAAAGGAGCAGGTAGGCGAGGGAATGGGCCCCACTTCTGCCACCTGTGGGATGGCTCTCGAGCTGAAGAAGTCGGAGGAGATATGGAAGCTCTTGATATGCCAGCCAGTGTCCAGCACATTAACTGGATAGCTGATCAGTGTTAAGTCACCTGCTACTGAAAACATGAAGCAATTGAATGGCATTTTGGTGGTAAGAGAGGCACATGGGTAACGAGATGAAGTCAGTATAAAGGATACTGAGGTTTTGTTTGAGTATATAGTTGCCCTGGCCAGTGTAACCACATCTGGATTAACCCATCTGGTCTCAGAAAGCATTTGCATTTTCAGTCCTCATTCAATATGAGGGTTTAATTTATATTCAATGACCTCAGCTAAATTGCTTTTTTAATTCTTGTGTATGTGATGATATTTCTGTCTTCTCTCCACCATCAGACTGTCACTTATCACTTGCCTTTTTTTTTGCTTCAGTCTGCATACTGCAGAAGGCCACCTTCCTCCTTCTTGCATTTCTAATCTGTGGTTAGCACAGATGCCTGAAAATAGGCAAATTAGATTTTCAGGCAAAGGAAGAGTTAAATGAGTCTTTAGGGAGACACGGGAAACTCAGCAGTTCTATTTGTGACATATATATGACTGTTGAGAAGTTTTCTTCCAGATTCTCAACTTCATATGAAAAAAGATATATAGACAAGAGTGTAGTTAAAGGAAAGACGCAGAGGAGACCTTGGGATAGCAGAGCACATAGGATGTGTAGTGAGGTTTGCCAAGCATACTGCAGTCCTCATGCTTCCACGTAAACATTTTAAAAAATATTTTGCAACAGTCATATTCAGAAAAAATTCCAAGTCCCAAGTTATATTGTAAGAGAAGAATTGCTAAGTGTTCATTCATTCCATTTTTCTTGCTTGCGGCTTCCATTCGATGTAGCTCTTACTTTCGTCTTTCTATTCTATCGACTTTTCTATTGTACGTATTTTAGTGCTTCAATAACGCATGTTACCAATCTATTTAAATAAATTCAAAGATGATGCTACCCAAGATATATGTGAGTGTGAGGATCAATGTTGAGAGCTAAGGAATGTGTCTTCTAGAGGGAACTGGCTCTGATTTCTCCATGACCTTCACCTCCAGCACCTCAGTTCTGCAGCTGTGCAGTGCTGAACACAGTTCTAAACCTAAACCTACCTCATAGCATTTTGAGAGATAAAAATGATGGCAAAGTATCTGTCAGTTTCAAGAGATGTGGCTATATTTCAGCACATGAAAAGAAACCCATCATTTCTTGGTGAACTATGCCATTTAGGGTATGGGAGCCACTCTGTTCCAGTGGGTTTCAAGCTGCCTTCTGCCTGTCAGGGTCTGGGTGTGGGCGGAGTGCTGCACACCATTCAGCGTATTTGGTGGTGTTCAACAAATTGAAACTTAATGACTGTAAAAACAGCATGCTGCTAGTTTAACTAGGTGTCTACAGAGCAGCTCGGGCATTAGTGGGGAAGTGTGTAGTGTGTGTCACAAGTAGGTTTTGCAACTCACTATAAGGCTAATGTGTAGTTTGTGAGTAAAATATCCAGTTTGCAGACTGCACAGAATGTCTGCCATTGCTGCTTTCATGTGCCTCCTGAATAACAGTTTTGGCTTTTTTTTTTTTTTTTATGTCTCCAGAATATAGAGGTTGATGGACTATCTTACAAGCTGGAAGGCCTGAAAAAATTCACGGAGTATACTCTTCGATTCCTAGCTTACAATCGCTATGGGCCAGGAGTCTCGACTGATGATATAACAGTGATTACACTTTCTGATGGTAAGTGATCAACAGTGAAAGTTGACTCATATATTTGTTGTGATAATCAAATAATATTGTGTGTGAGTCATAGATTCCATTTTCAAGGTTTCCTAATGAATACTTTATGGATTCTTTTAGCAGAAATTAAATATTTGGCTAATTCACTCAAACTATCCATTACAGTCAAATTTAATTTTCATAAGGTATACACTCTGAGTCAGGATGTCCTAATAGGTAATCTTCAAAGTGTGACTACTGCCTAAGAGCTTAAAATAATTTTTGTGCTGTTTTTTATTTCTATAAACCTAAACACATTTGTGTACATGTGTACACTAATTTACATTGGCATGTTTCTTTCTTGTTCTAAATAGAGGTAGATGATAAAAAAATGTAAACGATGGACAATCCTCTTCCATATACCTCTTAATGTGAAAATATATGCATATCTGTAAGGACTTAGGCCAAATAATCCAGCATTGAAATCATTATGACTGCATGTGAAAATGTACACATTTAATTGTACCATGCCTAGCAAATGAAAGATTATTCATACTTTCTTAACTGCCATAAAAGAGAAGAAGAAGGCTGAATGAGAAGGACAGATTTGACAAAGCAGTAGTGGAGGAAATTAGAGATCTAAGAAATGGATGATAATGAAATGTTGGTAAATTTAATGCAAAGTGAAAATAAAATGCAGCAGAGTGTATGTGTGGGGCCCACGAAAATTCAGGCAGGTGCAGAAATGCAGAGATGTGACCTTCATGAATGTTAAACAAGCAACCATCTATTTCTTTTCAGTAGCAGTTTCCATGTTGGTGTGTGCAATTCTATAAATTATTGATCTTTTGAATTTCAAAAAATAAATGACTTTAGCTTATGATTCCTCAACCAATCCACCATTCTTTAACCTATGAAATGATCTGGGCAGATATTTCGCACAATATCAGCGGAATGAGGACAGGCATCAGGTTATTAAGGACAGTGCAAAAAAGACACAGGAGTAATGCTCATTTGCAATTTAACTTGAAAAAATATTTTATATGTGACACCACTTCAGTGTCATTTTTAATGTAATTCTTATGTCCATCGGATTCTGTTATTGAAGACAGAACAGAATATTTATTGGCAGAATAAATTACTTCATAACTGATAATTATAAAAAGAAAAGGAAAGCAAATGAAAATGAATCTTTTACATAATTTATGTAGATTTCATTCACACTCTGAACTGTAATACTGTGGCCTTCGTCTCCACTTAGGTTTTAAATGTCATAAGTGAGAAAGATAGATTATTACTCATTAGTCCAAGAATTATCATCTGGAAGTGTTGCAACATTTAGGAGTTAGAAAATGCCTGTCACTACATTAAAGGATTTCATGACCCTAACAAGCATCACTGTGCAAGGGACCCCACTTTTCTCTATTAGATGCATTTGATAGGAGAAAGCAGGACCTTCATGGCCCCCTTGAAGTGGGCTCTCTGACCTTGTCTGCCTTCATCTTTATAATCAATTTGTCTCTTTTAATTTCCAACAAAACAACCCTGTATCCCCGGCTTTCATTCCCTTATCATCTAGTCCCCTTCTTTCCACCCTAACCGGATGTCTCCTTTCGACTGAAGCTGTTGATGCAGAGGCCACACATCATATAGATATGTATTTAATCACATTTAATAGTCACCTACTTCCCAGTCTCGGTCAAGCCCTTTTCTCCTTGACTTTCTGGATGTTATAAAAGGGAGATGTGAAAATTAAATGAGCTAATCCATGGAAGCACCTAAAACATGAGCATGGCAAACATAGATTTAAGTATTATTATTAAGTATTAATAAATTCCATCTATGCCAATGTGCATGACCCTTTTTCTCATTACACTATGCTCCTCATATGAGGGATGATGTTATAGTCACCTCTGTATTCCTTTCAACTCAGTAAATATTTATTGAATTAACCAGACAGTTCAGCCAACCCTGTACAAATGTTTGTATGTGTAAACCTATCTTTAGGACTTCCTATTTGTGTGGAAAATTTGACATATGACTATGTCTAAAAGCATGTGTGTTATAGAGAGAATCATATTTCTTATCAGGTCAAAGGCATCCTTACCATAAAAAATTTATATTGGGACCATAGGAAAATAAAATAGAAAAAAAATTAAATGCAAATAATTTTTTTGAATTAATTATCTCAATGGTCCCCTGTTATGCTAAGATTTCTTGTAAAGATGTTTTCCTAATGAGCTTTCCCTATTTTAGCTCTGCTTTAATTGATTTTTTGGGAAGAAACATCATTTTTTTGTTCAAATTCCTTTACCTAGTGTATCTTTGGTTTAGTGGTCCACTCCTTCAAAGCATTTGGTACCCTAGGTCACCAATCTAGGCAGCTTCCTCTCTAGTGTAGAATGTAACTAGTCTTGTCAGTTTGTTCCCAAAGACTGTCTCTTGAATTAGTTGACATGGGTAGGTTATTAACAGATTATATGAGTTAATTAACATGTATCAGTGTCCACGTGAGCTTGTCCTGTATCCTTCTCTTCTGTCTCATGAGACAATGAAACATTGTCAGATAAGAAGAAGGGCCCAATTTCATAGGCACCCTTAACTATGGGAATATGCTTCTTACTGTTACCACTATATTGATTGAGTACTTCTTAGTGCAAGGCGCTGCTCTGATATTAACCTTTTATTCTCATAATGCTATATTTTCTCCTACTTTAACAGATGACAAAACTGGGATACAGGTCATATAAGCTATTAGGTTGGTGCAAAAGTAATTGTGATTTCAGACTGTGAATTTTAAATCATTATAACTAGGCTTAGACACATCTTTATTAATCAAAATAGGAACCATTACAATCAACACATTTTTGCCAATGAGAAATACGTTTTCTTATTCCTGTAGCATAAAAATATGTTGGGATTTGACAAACTCTTTGGAAAGCATTTTATGCATCCTGCTGGTTGTGGAAACGTTTTCCCTGAAAAAGTTGTCGAGATGCTTGAAGAAGTGGTAGTCAGTTGGTGAGAGGTCAGGTGAATATGGCAGATGAGGCAAAACTTCATAGCCCAATTCATTCAGCTTTTGGCGCGTTGGTTGTGCTACGTGCAGTCGGGCATTGTTGAGGAGAAGAATTGGGCCCTTTCAGTTGCATTTTTCGGTGCCTCTCATCGATTTGCTGAGCATACTTCTCCGATGTAATGGTTTCGCAGGGATTCAGAAAGCTGTAGTGGATCAGACAGGTAGCAGACCACCGAACAGTGACCATGACCATTTTTTGGTGCAAGTTTGGCTTTGGGAAGTGCTTTGGAGCTCCTTCTAGGTTCAACCACTGAGCTGGTCATTGCCAATTGTCATGTAAAATCCACTTTTCATTGCACATCACAATCTAATCGAGAAATCGTTTGTTGTTGTTGCATAGAATAAGAGAAGAAGACACTTTAAAACAGTGTTTTTTTTTTTATTTGCAGTCAGCTCATGAAGCACCACCTTTCGAGCTTGTTTACCTTTCCAATTAGCTTCAAATGCCAAATGACGGTAGAATGGTTGATGTTGAGGTTTTTGGCAACTTCTTGTGTAGTTGTAAGAGGATCAGCTTCGATGATTGCTCTCAATTGGTTGTTGTCAACTTCCAATGGCCAGCCACTACTCTTCTCACCTTCAAGGCTCTCATCTCCTTTGCAAAACTTCCTGAACCACCACTGCACTGTACGTTCATTAGCAGCTCCTTGGCCAAATGCATTGCTGATGTTGCGAATTGTCTCTGCTGCTTTACGACCCAGTTTGAACTCGAATAAGAAAATCACTTGAGTTTGCTTTTTGTCTAACATCATTTCCATAGTCTGAAATACATATAAAATAAATAGCAAGTAATGAGTCATCAGCAAAAAAAACATAAAGCAAGAAATGTGCATTAAAATGACGTATAACATAACAACATTTATTTAAGAATGTATTCCAATATCAAAGGCAAATTTCAACAATGCAAAAACCACAATTACGTTTGCACCAACCTAATAGTAAGAGGCAGAGACAGGTCACATAAGCTCATAAGTAAAGAGGCGGATTCAATGCAGAAATATAGTGAGTTTCTCTTATTCTGTAATAAATGTCTCATATTAGTTCCTTCAAGGAAAAGAGCTCATGATTATATATGAATTATTACAATTCATAAAGTGTGTGTACAGGACAGAACACACTTGCTGATGGGAGGCATTCAAATGACTCTGTGTATGGTGATTCATTTACTGTGTGAACTTGATCTATGCTACAGAATGACATCCCAGGTATTGCAAACCAGCATGTTCCACCATATAGAGAGGAGTTTCCAGACCAAACACCTCTGATTGGCTTTAATGAACCTATTGTAAATGATAAATTGCTTGACATTTTGAAGAGAAAAGCAATGAACTGTATCTTTCTCTCCTGCCTCATGAGACAATGAAACATTGTCAGATAAAAAGACAAATAAAGAAAAACCCAGCTAAATGTGGTTTCTACTCATTTCTACCAAGCTCTTATCCTATCCATCTATTTATTGGTAAATAATATGGAAATTGATAGTCTGAGTGAGAGAGCAGCAATTGATAACTAAAACTACCACTGAAAAATTCTCTGTTTTCTTTTCTGACTGTGTAAAGTGAGAATAGCCAGCGTGCTATCAATGGAAAGTAAGAGAAATTGATATTGCAAAAAAATAGACAAAATACATCAATACCATTTTTATAAGTCCACCTTGGGAATTTATACCTTTCGATTCCTAATGCAGAAAATAATCTTGATGTTTATTAAATTGTGGTTGTTACAAAAAAGAAGGGCACTTATTTATCCTTTCTCTTATATATTCTTGGCTTTCCAGAAATACCATTTATAAACTTATATTAAAATGACATTTGAGGGTTACATATCAACTAGCACAGTAACTAGAAGTATGATAAATTTGTTACCTTCTCCTTCCCCCAAAATTCAATCACCTGTCATAAATCAAGCTACTGAAATTATATTTTGATACTAATTAATTGGTCAAAAAGTGGGTGTAATATGATTAGTAAAGTTCAATATGATATGTAAATATTACAACATCATGTTAAATGCAAATTAGAAAGGTTGTTTCATGTGTAAGGAGTGACTCATTATCAATAGTAAGACATCATTGCCAAACTTTGCTTTGAAAGAATTTCATTCTTGAGAGGTTTGTGATAATATGTGATTTAGAGCATAGCACTCTTTTTCAGTTTGTACCACTTTTAGTCTTCAATTCTTTACAAATAATTTGAATATAGATTATATTAAATTCTTCCTCCTTGTGAAGCTCTCAGTTTGGTCCTTCTATTACGCAATTATTGTGATTTCCAGCCTACCTCTAATCTTTTCTCTTTTTAAGAAAGGGGATGTAGATATCATCTTATGAAGGCCTTTGCATTCTTCCCTTTCCTGGAGACTGGACTGAGATGTCTGGGGGTTAGTGAAGGTCATTCAGGGCATCCTGTTTAATTAGCATAGCATATGTAGAGTTGAGATGATATGAAATGTTGTCAGATGCAGAAGAGCCCTTCTGACTATTTTCGCTTTAGAGAAAAGTAATATCTTAATATTTTAATAATAGCAACTTGAAATGGAATACAAGTTGTAAAATAAAAATTTTAGAGGTGAGTTTGGGGGAAACAGATCCATGTTAATAAAAACATACTTTAAGAACTCCACAAAAAGAAAAGATGTCCAAATGACATTGAACCTGTGAGAAGATGCTCAGCATTGCTAGTCCTCAGGGAAAAGCAGATAAAACCACTCTACAACTACCAGGTGACTAAAAATAAAAAGATTGAAAATACCCAATGCCGGTAAAATTATGGAGCAACTAGAACTTTGTTGCAAGTATACTTAGTATGAGTTTAAATTGTTACAACCACTTTAGAAAACTTTATGAAAGCTTGACATATGAGTATGTGTAACACTCCATCCCCACAGGGGTTTCCACTCCTATCAGTATTTCCACTCCTAGGTACATAACGAAGGAAATGAATGCAATTGTCCACCAAAACATATATGCAAGGATTTTCATAGCAGATTTATTCTTATGGCCTCAAACTTGAAGTAATCCAAATGTCATTCATCAGTAGAATGGCTAAATATAAAATATAAAGGTCTTACACCGTATTGTAACACTGTCGAGCAATAAAAGTAAACAAAACCCCAGAAACAAAACTATTGCTATATGCAACAACATGAATGAATATCAAGAAATAATAATGAGCAAAAGAAGCCAGCCTGGTAAAAAAAACAACTATGATTTCATTTTTTAGTAAGCTCAAAAGCAAGCTCAACTAATCTATGGAGTCAGAAGTCAGAAGAGTGGTGTTGACTGGGAAGAGATGCACGCGAGCTTTCCTTGGTACTCTACATGTTCTAAATCTTGAAATTAGTGCTGTTTAAATGGGAACACACACACACAAAATCTTATCAAATTCATACATTCAAGATTTGTGCACTTTACTGTATGTGTGTTATACCTCAGATTTTAAAAACGTGCTAAAAAGCTTGTGGCAGAAGCCCTGAATATGAAAAATTTCATTATATCTTACAAGTTTTCTATTAATTAATTCAACAGATATTTGCTGAGTGCAGCCCCTGTGCCTGACACTCTTGTCAACGCTGGGGATGCGACAGCAAAAGGGACAGAAATCCTTCCTGGTCCCTGTGGGGGTTGTAGTCCATACTTGACAAGAAAACCATAGTAAGAGCTAGAAGAAATTAAATAATAAAGTCTAGTTCCCAAATTATGAAATATTTTTTGAAAGAATACTTGTTGACCCAATTCATGAAAAACCAGCCTCCAGTGAGCATTTTATGACGTTACCTTAGTTATAGCCTTTATCAAGCACCAAGTTCAAAATCAAAACAAAATAAGTGATTACAATTCCTCATGTCCAGGAAGGCCCAGGAGCTAATATTTTAGGATGTATCCCTTTGTTCATTTAGTCATTGAGTCAGTGAATATTAATTGAATGTCGGTTTAGAGGATATAAAGATTAATCAGTCATATATCATGCCCTTATGGTGATTACTTTTCAAAAGGTAAAATCAGAGTAGGGCATAAATAAATTCTGGGTAAAATGTAAGACCCCTAGAAAAACATAGATATTGTCTTCCTATTTCAAGTAAAAGAAGAGAGAACATAACAAAAAAAATCTTGAAAGTGCTCAGAGCATTTCTTCTCTGTTAAATTCATCAATTTGTCATGAACAAGGATAGGTACTACTCATGTTATAGACTAATATATATTAAGCATTTATTGAACACTGCTTCCATTCCTATCATGGGACAGAAAGCTTTATTTTTTTATGATTCTTCCAAGACATCTAGAGTAGTGCCTGACACATAACAGCTGTTCAGTGAACGCTTGTCTTTGAATCACTCACCTGATAGAATATTTGCTTTTTGATATAGTACATATTCGTTGTACATATTATAAAGAAAACTTTTTCTGTTCTCCCTTCTTTCATGAAGGAGTGGGACAATCAAAATGCAGTAAAGAGAAACAAAATCCCTAGAAAATCCATAAAGAAAAAATAAACTGCTCCTTTGTTAATAGAATCGACTCACTGAATGCTATTTGGTAACCTGCATCTATGACACACAAGTGTAATTACATACAGGGAACGAAAAACCAGGATGTATTTCTTCTTTTCACTTTTTAAGAGATAATCAAGATTACATTAAAGGGATTAAGCAACACGAGTGACCCTTACAATGACATATTTCATCATAAAACCATGCAGATCCTGAAATGCACAACATCTTAAGCCTTTAAAACCACTCTAGGAAATCTCCTGTGTGTTTTTTATTGGTTTCTCTGGGAAGGTTATCGCCGGAAAGCTGTAATTAAATGTCAGCATTTGGTATCACTGCAGGTGTTCACTTGCCTAACAGTTTTTGGGGGCTCCCTACATGAATAACTGGCCACCAAGTGAGAAAAAATAGATAAATGCATTTATTTTTTATCTCCCCAGGAAAATTTGAAAGTAACACCTGGATCGACCTATCTAATTATCATCATGAACTGTCAAAAAGACATGCTTTCTCTTTTCAAAAGTGTTGTAGTTTGTCTTTCATGACTGTGGCAGTAACCATCTTACCTTGTTTTGTTTGGCTTTTCCTTTTAGTGCCAAGTGCCCCACCTCAGAACATCTCCCTGGAAGTGGTTAATTCAAGGGTAAGCTGTTGAAATGGTCTCTGTTTCATTACCTATGCACATATGACATTTGCTCACCCCTGCACTCTGTGGGGAAAATGGTGGCTCCCATGTGAAGAAATGCTGCAGAACAGTATAGTGGGCGGCGTCGACCCCACAGCTTCTTCCTTCACACTTGAATTAATTTAAAGGAAGGATTTGTTTACCTCTACTATACTTGATTTTATAATGTTGTAATGATTAAAGGCTATTCCATCAGGGGAAAAAAAAAGGAAGCCTATTTTATACTTACCAGTATAGGGCATAATATGCTAAATGGAACAGTTGAATGTAGCAATGAGTAAAACAATTGAAAGAGGCGGGATAAAGAGAGACGATTTCCTGACATATTAATTAGAGTCGAGTGTTCCATCATTATCCCTATTCTTCCCTTATAAATGTAGGCATTGCAGGCCATTCTGGAGGCCCCATAAGGTTATATTTATGAAACAATGTTAACCAGTAATTAATGTTTTCCTGGCCTGGAAAGTAGATATAATTGTCAAAAGGACTTAAATTAGGCTAGGTATAGCTGAATATAAGGAACCTGATGCCAGAAACCAGTTTTCTAGAAACATCTCCTTATTTCAAGTGTGTCTCAGCTTTGACAATAAGCCCAGACTATATAGTAGAGTGAAGGAAACAAGGATTGGCCTGGCTTGGCTCTGTGATTATCTGGTCGTGTGCACTCAGGGGAACCGTTTCACTGCCCGTGGGCCTCAGTGGGGTGGGCTGGGGAGGCAGGGGGTTGGCCTAACTGGTCTCTAAACTCTGAGAAACAGCAGGGAACTTACATGGGTCTTAGAGAAACTCATTCATTCTGTGGTTTTAAATCCTAGCCTTCCCTTTTAATAACTGTATGGGATCTTAGAAAAGGTTCCAATCTCATCAAACCTGTTTCTATATCCATTTAGTGTGTGTGTTAATGCCTTCCTCACTGATTTATCATGAGAAAATAGTAATATAACATATGTAATGGATCTACCTAACGTGGTGTCAGTTGCTATTACTTCAGGCAATGTACAAATCTTTGCAGTGTTTTGCAAAAATTTCTGATATAACCGTTTTTCGATGACTTTGATCAGATTTGCCTCTGTCCTGTGAATTTATCTTTAGGAGCTAGTGAAATGTCTCTATAATTGTTAGCCTCTTACATTTTTAGGCACTGTATTTGATAAGAAGCAGTGACATAAATTTAAAAATAGAAGGGAGAAAAATACATGAATTTAGGGAGAAAATAATAAGCTAAAGGAAAAAAAGCATAAATAAACATCACCCTAAAAAAGGCATTATTTGCAGCAACATTACATGTTTTACAGACACTCAAATTAAAAGATTGCCAAATTAAAGTCAAATAGTTTTTACAATTATTGTAAGTTCTTAATGACTTAAATTTGGAAAGCAAGTTGTAGTGTCTGTTGCTGTAATGACTCATTTGCTATCAGCGTTTTTCTCCACTGCACTTCTTTCAGGACAGATCATAGAAACTGATATAAACTATGTTTTGTGTGTACTTGTATCCCTTAAAAGACTACTCCAACAAAGAGTGAATGTCTTCTTCTGAAATGTGAATAAGACATTGAATAACCCTGGATGCTGACTGTATTTGAATGTGGATTTATTTCCTAAAGAGGGAAATCCTGGACTGATTTATACACACACACACACACACACACACACACACACACACACACACACAAATACAAATATCACAGCCCTTACTCTTCTAAAACATACAGCGCTTGCAGCAACCAGATACAAACATTCCTGTTTCTATCCTTTTGTAATTATCTCTGGAACATTGAACTGCTAGAAAACATAGCTTGTTCATTAGCTTTTCAGAATGAATACAGTAGGCCCAGGTGCTGGAAAACCCCTTCCTCTCTACACCTCCTGTTCTGTTATCATATTTCCTAGCATTTAAGAAATTATAAATTATTTTTCTTGGATTGTTACCAGAAGGAAACAAACTAGATGATCAAAGCACTGCTTTATCATCCCCGATATGTTGATGGAAAGACAAGAACCATATTCTATTTTGATAGTCTTCTTTTGTTTGAAGCAAATGTTCTCAAATATACTAACATTTACTCCTGACTAATGCCATTGCAAGGAACAAAGTTTATTTAAAAAGAAACATTGTACTTGAATAAGTATTGTACTCTTTTAGACTAACAGAATTATGACTTTTATGTCACAATTGCCTTTTACTTGGGAATTTTATTTCATATAAAAGGAACAGAGTCATATTTTTAAATGTTATTCTGTATCCTATTTGCAATTATAAAACATAATTGATCATTTTATTGATGAGGAATGAGGAAATTTGGGGGTGCTAATATTTTTGTACACACATGGCTAGGATTTCTGTATGCAGAACTGCCACATCACACTTAATAGGATTTGTTTGAGTTCTGGCCACCTAAAGGCAATTGGGCTGAGAAACCATAATCCAGGATATGCAGAGAGGTCCTTATACATTTAGATAGAAGAGCCAAAGGAAATTCTGTTACTCTTGTCCTTGAAAACCCGGTGTAGTCGATTATGTTTATGAAACTGTAATCACAGAAAAGTCTAGATTCCCTTTCTGCAAAGTAGCCATGAACACAAATTTTCTTTGGAAGGAATGGCTTGAACTATAGATACTCATTTTAGGCAACAGTACATCATAATGAGATGGTTATTTATTTTTTTGGTACTAAAATTTTGTTTACAAGAAATCATATCTTTACAAGAAAAGAAAAATAATAATGCTTTGATGTGTGGACTTTAAACTGTGGCTGTTTTATTAGGAAAACTTTTCATAAGGATAATTTGCTTAAGGTTTTACTTTGAAATTCAATTATTACTTAAAGACATAGATATTATAACTTAGTGGGCTAGCATGTAAAGCACAGGTTTATTGAATGCAAAGAGCTTATTCAGTTGGCAATTGACTGTTTTCCTATGTTCCAATGCAAAAACACTGAGAATTAGACCATTTCAAGTATGCTGAGATTCAAGATGTTTGGGCTGTTTAAGTAGCTCTTTGAGATTTCGGAAGTCACTGTGCCTCAGTTGCATTTAGTCATTCCACATTTACTGTGTGTTTACTATATGTCTTATACCTGGGATGCCAAAAAAATGTAAACACATGACTCATATTCATCTTTTGTTATCGGTATATATTATTAGAATTTTAATACAGTTTTTTTTCTTAAAATGTGTATACATTTTTTGGCACCCTCTCTCTATATATACTGTACATAGATATACACTATTATTATGTATAATGCTAGGAAGTATATATCTACTGTACCTCTATATCTCTGTCTATAATTATATCTATATCTCTGTGTAATGCCAGGAACATGTCCCAGTCCTGCCTCCATGGAGCTCACAGTTTAGTAGGAAACATGTGAAAGAAAATGGGCTTTTTATCTAACCACATTTAACCTATTGCAACTCTTTAAAGTTGATATTGTATTCTCACTGATAAAATGAGAGAGTTGGAGAGATAATCTCTAAAGTCTCTTGTGGCTCCAAACATCTACGACTATATTTCTACCTGTTATACCTTCTCTCAATCTTTTCATCTTTACAGTATTAGAGAAAATGGTGCAAGCATATTGGTTAAAAAATACTGGACTTAACTCACAAGTTTAGAAATTTATCAACTGAGCACTATAGGGTGATCATAAGGGATGAAATATTAAACCCTAATAAGAAAACACAACACCCACTATTTCAGCAGGTATGATTCATCGTGCAGGTCTAGCTCTTTTTAAGTGCAGAATATCGGATCCCTCTTCTTATATCACTGCCCGCCTCTGTGTTGTTGAAGTCCTTATCCTTGTTTGCCAGATGCATCAATGTGAATGTCATTTCATTGCATTCCTAAAAGCTGGTACCCAGTTAGTCATTCACACTTCGATAGTGTGTGTGATGTCTTCATTACAACAGTGGAAAACGTGACTCTTACTTTCCTGCATCTTAAAGAGTCTCACTCCCCTGTGTTTCAGCATAATTTGGCATGCTTAAATAACTTGAAAATTCGTTTAGTGATCATACAATTCCCTTTACCCAGAAACTCCCCAAAGGGAGAACTAAAACAGCAACTTCCAACTCCTGAAAACAAACTGATCATTTTTGCCCCAAATGTTTTAACATATATATTTTTCAAACAATACAGGAGTCTAAATGTTGTATCCTTGAGTAACCTCAGGAAGGCACCCTTCTGAAGATGTGGTGTGACAGGATGGGTTTTGACTGAGGTCTCTGTCACCTGTCATTCGACTAGTGATAATTCTTTTACAATAGAAGTGATAGCCAAGTGAATAACCCGAGCAAGTCATTTGCGTTTGACTCCCAACTGGGATACCCACTTATTAGGTACTGTGAACAAAAGTGTGACAGTGAAGAGAAGAGGAGAAACTGGAGGAATAGAAAACAAAGAGCCAATGTGAGCTGCAATATTAATTTGTAGGTCCTCTGTGTTTTGTTTTGTTTTTTTTCTGAAATTGGGGTTAAGGTCTTCTCTTGGCTGTTCAGAGGGCACTTGAATTCACACTGCTCCCTGCTGCATCACAGCCTCCCTGAAAACACTGTTCACACAGGTGTTCTTGAACCACCTCTGCAGTCCCACCACCCTTCCTGTAAATGGTGATCTCACCATTGTGTGTTGTGCATCGGCATATGATTCAGAGACCTCTTGAAAAAAGTTATATTTTTGTTTCTTTCTGGATCATCCTAAATCCTTCATAAAATACACTTGGACCACTGAGTTCTTTGGAGCCAGGCTCTGAGTCTTCCTCTCACAAATATAGTGGATTTCTGAAATGTATTTATTACAGAGAAATATGACACATAGGAGACTGTAGGTGATTGATTCTGTTTAAAAATAAATTAGAAACTGGCATTTGCTTACAGATGGACAATTTAAATATAATGACATTTATGCTTACAAACACTGGTATTTTTCTCAATCATAATACACAGAGCAT